CTTGGAAGGGAAACCCGTTGCCGAACTCTGCCAAACGCTGCGCTTCCAGCACACCGGCCATGCTGGTGCTGAGCACCCGAAACCACCCAACCTCCTAGCCTCATACGCACTCTCCCCATCCGGCCACTCCACACACAAAAAAAGATGAGGCCCACCAGGAGCCCTCTCCGAGGCCTTACACTTCGCCAATGTGCTAATGCCACTTCAAGGAGGTTAAGTCCACACATGCCCCAGACCCCAACACTTCAAATGTAGATCCATGCCAAACCTTCTGAAATGCATCCAGAAATAACGATTTTGATCCTGGGCCTTGAAAGAGAATTTCTTCAAGGCTGCGGACAAGATGTGCTTCCCAGCGGCAGCATTCCTGGGTCCACAAAAACTAGGCCAAGACCTTTCTGCTCTCCAGTACAGAACAGAAGTTGCTGCTAGAAATGTGGGTTTGGGTTGTTACAAACCTGCTGCCACTATTGATACTTAAGAGTCCCCGCAACCTGACCCTCAAGATCTTGGGGCTCTGACGCTGTCGAACGAGCATGTTGCTATTGTTGATGGACAAGATCCTGACCCCACGCATCTAAACCCTTGGAATCGTGGTTCTATGGTCCCTAGCATACTACTTAGGGTCATGCAGGATTTTGTCCATCAAGCCTCTTGATATTGGGTGGAGACACTCTCTAGATAACCCCCATATAGCACCCATATCCATTTCATCTTCCATGTTCTGCTCAATTTGGGTCTCCATTATTGGGATAAGAACCCTAAACCCTAAACAGTTTCCCATGTTCTTTTCCACTCTCCCTATAATGCTATATGCCCTTTCCCCATCATCCCTCTATACCCAGATATTATTCCCTGTCCTTCGACCATTTGCTGCTTGGTTTCTGCAACTTTGGCCAGGCGAGCATCAAAAGCCTCTTTACCTTCCAGGTGAGCTACAGTGGTTTGGGTTCAGGGTTTAGAGTTTAGGTCAAACAATTAAAGGACATGGGTTCATTCATACGGACTCTATGAGGGACTAAATTAAACCACAGGCTCATATTGTCAGTAGCTCACGTGGTTTAGGTTTCAAGGTCTAGGGGAAGACTGTACTTTTTGTGAAGTTTTCGGCGGAACAGCAACTTGACCCAAAGGTATCCCTAGACCCAAAGCAGGGCCCTGCGCGGAGGGTTCAAGGTAGGCATCCCCTCCAAATGCCCCTTGGAGCCCCTGGGGTTTAGGGTTTCTTGATTCGGTTGTTTCCAAAAATAGGGGGATCCCGAAACAGATTCCCAATACATTATAATCCTTATCATGAGGACCCCCCAAAATGGTTCCCATACTTTCACGAAACCTTATACCCTAAACCCTATGTAGTCCTAGAAAATATATCCCCTAAAACACCACTTTAAAATGGCACCAAGAGCTTTAGGAAACCCTACAATCCCTATATAACCCCAATAGAATCCCTATATAACCCATTATAGTAGTTTCCATTTTCTTTTCCGTTATCCCAATATAACCCCCTATATAATCTGTAGTTTCTTGCTACAGGCCTTCTGGCTTCGTCTCGGGCGTCGTGGTTTAGGGCTTAGGGTCTTTCCCTCAACTTTGTGGCCAAGGTTCTTGTAGGGAAACGCTGGGATACAATGGGGAATCAGAAGGAAAAGGAAATGGAAAATTATAGTCCCCCTTAAGTAGATAGAATATGGCTTTGGGTATATTATAATACGATCCCCATATACCCCATATTCTATCTACTTAAGGGGGACTATAAATGGAAACTGAGATTCTAGAGCAGCCAACATTCTTCGTTTTCGCTCTCTGCCGCTCGTTGCTCTATCACAAACAGTTGTCAATATTGAATAACACTAGCAAGAACCAGCCAGCCCAACAAGAAAACACAGCACCACCGTGGCTGAATTGGCCCCGTCATTATGGTTATGGTTTGGGTCCTGCTCCCACCCATTGACAGTCAATAATAGGAGGAGTCATATTACGGGCTCTATGCAATTTCGTTCATGTTCTAACCGTTAATGAGTGGCGGCAGTACCTGAGTTATGGTTAATAATACTACTATCACTAGTACTGTTGCAATCAGTACCTGGGATATTGTTGCTATCACCATTGACAGTATTTGCCAGTATCACTAAAGCAGTTCCTAGGAATGCCATGATCAGTACTGCTTAGGAGGACCCCCCACCTTGTAATAGTGGTATACTAGGAATATCAGAGGACCCTAATATAGTCCTTATTATCCCTTATAGACACTATTACAGGGTCGGGGGTCCTCCTAAACTATTGCTGATACTGGCGCCAGTCGCATGTACTGCTATTACTGTCGTTGCCGCTCTTGTTGCCGCGCCTTGCTGTTGTCATTAATGCTGTTATGACTGCTTTCCGCAGTCACTGATGCTACTACTAGTACTGCCACTCCTATCATTACTATTATCATTACTATTATTGTTGGTATCATTACTAGTTTTTGCAGGTCCGTATGGGGATCCCCTTAATTAGCCAAGAATAGTTCCCCCACCTCATCCTTTTCCGCACCACTGCTCGTCTCAATGACGCGCTGGACGATGTAGTTTCCAAAGCGGTCCTGACACAATGATAATAGTCATATTGATGATAGTACTAACAACATAAATAGTAATAATAGCCAAAATGAGAACATAAATAATGACAATAATGATAATAGTAGTTAAAATACGAATAGTGATAGTACTAATAATAGTATTGATGATCAATTGTTGCACCAGAATTCTGCTATTTGGGCGTAGAAATTGCTTCCAAGCTGATGATCGTTCAAACTAAATTACGCAACGGACGCTGGCCATTGAATCTGCACATACACGCACCCTTGCAAGGTGAAGCGCAACATTATCACGTCAACTTCATTAAGATGCAGTTGAAGCCACAATCTGCGCGGATGTAAATTTCATCAAAAGCCAGGCGTCAAGCATGATCTGCAGAAGTGGAGGGCTCGAGCTGCGCGTGGAGGGGGAGAAAAAAGCCGTCATCAGCGCCGCGCGCTCCTTGATGCGAGCAGCAATTGAGTCTTGATTGATGCGGTCAAAGGCAAGAAGACCTGCAGGTGCATCACACGGGCCGTTTTTCAGGCTATAGTCCCCTTGAGTAGATAGACAATGGAATTGCCCAAGATCAAAATAAGATCCGCCCATATCTACCATATTCCATCTACTTAAGGGGAACTATAGACCCCAAAGTCCCTAAATAGCAGTTTCCATCCTCTCCTGCATTATTACTATATGACGTATCTACTTAAATAGCTCTTCATCACAACTTCGGCAGGGGAGCTATATTCCGAACCTCCTAGTATCCCCCTTAGTAACCCTTTTCATACTCCCCTGTATGAGCACCTTAAGGAGTTTGGAGTTTAGGTTTAGGCACCCTAAGCCCTCAACTCTTATCCCTAAACCCTAAACCCAAAGCTCAGGTAGTCCTGAGCCAGCTCAGAAGCCTTCGGGCCAGCTGAAACCTCGAGGCATTTCTCCAGCACCTGAGCTTATTAAGCGTAGCGGTTAGGGTTTAGGAACCATAGCCAAAAAAACAAAAACCCAAGCAGCCACCAGAAAGAAGGCAGAAGCCAAGTAAGTGACGAAAATGATGGAAGATGATGAAGATATTGAGAATGATGAAAGATTTCCATTAAAATTGTATAAAATTGAGGAAATGATATAAACATGATGAAAATGATATAAACATGATGCCCATGATATAAAACTGAAGAAAGTGATAGAAAAAGAAGCAGTATTAGGAAATGATAGACATTGACGGAAAAATATGGAAAAAATGATGGAAAAGGGAAAATTCGAACACGCTCCAGGCCAGGGCTTTTCAACATTACGAAAACGTCACTTAAACATAGACCCTCCTTCCTATTCCGCACTAATCTCCGCTGCTACAGTCTGGGAAATGCACCAGACTCGCATGGCGGTTGCGGGAATACTTCATCACGTCCTCGCTGAAGAGCCGCATGACCTCAGATTGCTGCAGAACCTATAGTCCCCCTTAAGTAGGTAGAATATGGCTTTGGGTATATTTGAATAAGATCCCCGTATACCCCATATTATCCCATATTCTATCTACTTAAGGGGGACTATAGCATCCCAAGAATCAGTTGGTTCCAAAAATCGTCAGAGTTTCGAGACTGCATGAGAGTGATTGCACAGCCTAACCTATCATCCGGGGAGTGATTGAATTGGAACACCTCTAGAATTCTTCGAGGGGCGGTGCGAGCGTTCTCCACACTCCCACACACCACAAGCGTGCGAATCACCTCAGAGAAATGCGGAAATAAGCAAAGCTGTTTGTCAACTGGTTCAGTCAAGGAGAGGGTCCCCTCGGAGGGAAGATATCATAAGGGGTTAGCCGTATCAAAGGCCCCAAATTATTCATGACTAGGTTCCCTTTAAACGAATCTCGAGGAAATTATTCACCATTGCAAAGCGCCATCTAGTTCCGAATGATTTCGGAAAACGGCCCTCCCGTCCTTTCAAGAATGCTGGGACACGGGCATTGCTGCTGTAGGGATCCTTGACCAGCCGCTGAAGCTGTTCACCTCAAGGAATTGACCAACTAATCATATAAGTGATGGCCTGGTACCATCCGAAATGCAAAAAATGCGACACTGCAGCAACGAAAACAAGGTAGGGCCCGAAGCGGACATGTTTTGCTCATGGTGATGACGGTTGAGTATAACAAGGTTGCTGCAGCAATCAAGAGATTACGCTCAACAGCAGCAATACCGGTTTGGGGACAGCACTGTAGAGGCTAGTCTCTGCAGAAACAGTAACGAAAAGCATGTTGATAGCGAGGGTATGATGAAGCGATGGTAGAAAGCGGCCGCAACAGCAGCAGTGGCCGCAACAATAGCGATGACAACTCATGACGAGAGTGGTCTAGTACAAGCAGCGGTGTTTGCGTTGGCAGCTGCCGCCGCCGCAGCATCGGTGATGAGCAGAAAAACAAGCAGCAGAAGCAGTTGCCATTGTCAGCTATAGGTTAGTTGGATCCCACACCGTGCAATAGTGGTATAGGAGGAAAATAATTAAGAGGACCCTAATAGAATCACCATTATCGGGGGGGGTCCGCCTAAGCTCTAGGAATGGCTGGCTTGGACCGACGTCCCTGCAGAGGCCTGGAACCATGAGGTCCTCCAGCAGTGCCAGAAGCTCTGGGCGGTGGCCGCAGTGCTCAATCAGTCGCTGCAGGACTCGGCAGGCGTAGATGTGAAGAGCTGCCGCGACAACGGTTTCCTGCAGCAATGCAAACAGACTTGACTTGCGCTTACATCCGGTCCGGACCCACATCCGTGTGCAATGGCCCATGCCAGCCAGATCACAACGACTTCAGCGATACAGGTAGCAGTGGTAACAGTAGCAATTCGTAGTAGTAGTAGTAGTAGTAGTAATAATCGTAATGCTAATAGTCACAGTACCAGTCATAGTACAAACCGTAATGGTTATAGTAACAGTAATGACGAACAGTAAGATTGATGACGCCTTCAACTCGAGCATGATGAAGGTCAGCGCGGACGGCTGCAGAGCTTGAATGACTTTCTGCATGACAAAGTTTCCGTGCATGTGACGACTGCAGTAGAACCTGGAAAAGCGACACAATTAGCTTGGGTCCTGGCCCTGCCCCGACCCACTAACCGTCTATATTAGGGGTGATAGAACTAAGGGCTATAATAACCAGAGTATAGATATTATCTAACTGTTAGTGGGGGGGGGGGGTAGCACCCAAATTATAACTGATAACCTTATGAGTGGATCCTTCTGGCAGTCCCTGTATAACCACTGCAAGAATATAGCAGCTTCGGTTTTTCTTCCCATAAACAGCCACACGCATGGAATTATACCTCGAGAGCTCTTTGCCGAGTGGCACTTTGCCCTTAAGCTCAGTCGAAATCAGCTCTTGCATCTCCATTGGGGCGGTGTCCAATGCGTGTTGGATGACCAAGCAGCCATTCTTGTCCTGCAGGGGCTCAAGCTGGAAGGGGCAGGTTCTCAAAAGCTCTAAACTGGCCTGAGTTGAGTAAACCACCACCCATTTTCCGGTTTCGGTCGGAATTAACATGAACATGCGGCGCGCAGCAACATGGCGCGCAAAGACCAATGCTCTGGAGGGCCCACCGAATGTGCTTCAAAATGCCAGGCACTCAACATGGTGTTACGATGTTTTACTCCCAACGCAAGCTGGTTCCGCCTGATAAAGAGCTGAAGTCTTGTGGTTTCTGCAGCTTCAACTCCATGACCACTCTATGGCAACACGCACTCTAGAGAATTTACGACTTGCCTGTGTGATTTCATCTGCAAGCAGCCTTGACTGCACCCTTGCTGTCCATCCAATGCAACATCCTGTCTAGCAACGTCTCTCACCTTGGCAGATACCTAGCTGAGTTCCATCGTGAAGAGAAACTTTTCAGCATGCTTTCATCGGATTATTGGTGTGTGGACCTTTCTGAAGACCATGTAACTTACCGAACATCTGCTGCCTGCCGTGACTTCAGATACGGACAACCCTTACAAGGTGAAAGAACAGCCTGCTATAGTCCCCCTTAGGCAGATAGAATATGGCTTTGCCCTGAACCACAATAGGATCCCATATACCCCATATAAAGGGGGACTGAAGTACATATTATAATGTATTATAATATAAAATAGTAGATTACTAGATTTTCGGTGGACCCCCCACCCAGTAATAGTGACTATGAGGGATAATAGGGATTATATTAGGGTCCTCTTATATTCCTATTATACCACTATTACAGGTGGGGAGTCCTCCTAAACCATATTATAGTATATGCAGACTAGGGTATGATATAGTATACTATATCATACCCTAATACACTATAATATAGACTCCTTGATCCTGTGATCCTGGGCTGGACTTTCCTACATCCTTGTGGTGATGAACTACACTTAGCTGCGGAGTCCCTGAATCATGAACCCAATAATAATAGTACTTATGATAACAATAGTAACAATAGTAATAATACTAATAGTAATAAGAGAAATAGCAATAGTAATACTAAAAATACGAACAGCAATCATAATAGTACTGGTAATAGTAATACCGATAGTAACAGAAGTATTAGTAAGAGCAGCCACAAGAAATTCTAACGCGGCGCTAGTCTCACAAACACTCCTCAGGAAACTGGGATGAACATGTGCCCTGAACCTGAAAGAGTAGCTTCCATTTTCTCTCCCATTATCCCTATATACCTTATTTATGTACGAGGCCAACCTGCCTTCGACATCTTGAGAATCGATCCACCCAAGCTCTCGGTCAGTTGTGCCCTGAGGCTAGGCCGCTCGCTGCAGGCGGTGAAGAGTTGTTGGACAACTCCTGGCTTCAAAGTGTTGGGTTTAGGTTCCGAGTCCAGGAAGCTTTACCTAAATACAAGTAGTCCTGTGCAGGAGCAAGATTATACAGACATCAGGCACCCGCAAAGTAGACATAATCCCCTCAACACAGGGGAGAAGGCTTCTGCCCGGGCAAAATTGTCAGTGTCATCTTTCAGTGGGGCTTGGGACGACGCCTCAGCATTCATCAATAACAATGGGTCTAGGGTTTAGGGTTTGGGGACCTTGGTGCCAAGCAGAGGCTGCGAGAAATCACTCGTCAATCCGGCAAGGTATATCGCAAGAAGTGCGGCCAAGACCAACCGCTCCCAGAAACGTCTTAAAGCATGGAGACCACAGAAAAGGACTGTAAGTTCAGCACACATTCACCCCAACGCAATCCCTACATAACTTGCATGAATAATCCGTACATGCATTTACATACCCTAATCGCCTCCCCGCTACTAGCAATCCCCCCACCCCCCCCCCACCCCCCTAATATAGCATTGGGACGGGGGGGGGATATTGTTGGGGTAAGGTCCTTTCGAGGTGCTTTGGGTTATATAACTCATACAAGGGCTATTCATACAGGCTATTTGGGAGTGATAGCATGGTCTATGTGTGTCCTATAATACCCATATAGCCTCTATGCACAACTTTATGTAACCCCTACATACCTCATATGAGCCAGTTCATGCAAACCCCAGTGCCCATTGCATCGTCCATGCTCTTTCCCATGTGATTTTCCACTTGAGAGCAGCGCGGATGATGGCTAGATCACGGCAAACGAGCCGGATTCTTTCACGCATGCTGATCAAATGTTGCCGCACAAAACGTGCTAATATACTGGCGTCCATGGCTTCGTTCCATGCTGATTAGAGGTAAAACACCCTAGCCCGCATGAACCACGAGGACATCCCACTCTTTCTTACATTCTCTTCTCCATTGGAGTCTCCGTTGTTACAATAGAATCCCTATACATCCCTTTATGATCCCTGCATAATCCCCTTTCTTGTGTCTTACAGGGCCGCTGCGCAGGCACAACCACTCGGGCAACACTCGATCAGATTCGTAAACAAATCTACCCGGCTTGTCTTCCATGGCTCTTTTTTGAAAGAGCCAGGTTTAGGTTTAGGGTTTAGGTTCAGATGAATGTCTGTGCAATCTGCGCATGCCTTTCGGTCACGATGTTGCAGGCTTGCATTGAAAGATCGGCCTACCGATGTTCAAGCAGTCTCAGAGTGGCATTCTGACAGGCATAGGAGACAGCATGGATAAACCTATACGCTGGTTTTTTCTGGCAAGCACAACGGACAGTATGGCTACTAGACCTGCTAGACCTACACGTTGATCTTGAGAACCGGAGATACACCTCGAGCAGGCTTTCGTGTTGTCGACAGCTTGACCGAAAGAAACAGCTGTAGAGTCACTGATCCTCTCCCCTCAACTCGAAGTCTGCGACTCTACAGCTGCTTCCTCGGAGCAAGCAGTCGACAACCCGAAAGCATGCAAACAATAACAGCTGCTTCCTCCGAACAAGCTGTCGACGAAATGAACACTTGCCACCCAAAAAAATCCAGATTCTGATCTGGTTTCCGCGTGTAGGTCTAGTAGCAATACTGGCTGCTGCGCTTGCCAGAAGCAATTGGCGTGTAGGTTTACCAATGCTGCCCCCTAGCTTGAACATCGCGAGGCCAATCTTTCAATGCAAGCCTGCAAAAGCGTGACCGAAAACCGGCTTATTCAAAGAAAAATGAAACCATAGATGAGGAGTCCACGGGTCCTTTTCAGGCGGGGGGGGGGGGCGAGTCCGCAATCGGAGATGTCTTGTCTTTACGTGTTAGGTGGGTGTCGACCGATAGATCGGACACTTAGGTTGGGGAGGAGGGGGGGGCATTCTTGGCGAGCACCTTCACATCTCCGAAATATGTCGGACCAAATGGTCCCAAACTTATCCATAGCCCAGGAGACTACATTGGTAAACAGAAGCTTTCGCAAGCTCCAAGGAGCTAGCTTTGGTGATTATTGGGATAGCATATCCCCCCTAAATCCCTGTATAATCTCTGTCCCCTTATATATCCCTGAACCCTAAACCCTGAACCCTAAACCCCAAACCCTGAACCCTAAACCGGGCCCCTAAAGAATCCCTATACGTCTCCTGTTGCCGAGGCATCGCAACCCAGCTCCACCACTTGAGGCCGCAGCGCTGCAATCAGCAGCCCCAAACCTCCAGGGGTTAGGGTTTGGGGTTTAGGGTTTAGGGTTTTGGGATTAGGGTTTAGGGTTTGGGGTTTAGGGTTTGGGGTTTAGGGTTTTGGGTTTAGGGTTTAGGAAAAGCAGGGTTTAGGGTTGAGGAATAAAAGGGTTTGGGGTTTAGAACTGAGGGTGAAGGGTTGTCTGGGTTGCTGTTCAGGGCCATAAATTAGTTTACCATAATATGGGCATATGGTAGATGATAGGGTTTCCTTCTCAGAGTAACTTAATTCAAGTTCCTTAATTGAAGCCCAATTTAGGTGTTTAAATCGCATATTTTACGCCTGCAAGCCTGTGCAAAGGACTATGAGTTTAGGTTTTTCTCAAAGCAGCGGACGTTTATGTGTGCATGATAGCAGGGCTTAGGGTTGGGTGGGGCGGCTATAAGGGAGAGAGAGAGAGAGAGAGAGAGAAAGATGTACATAAGTAGGGGATATAGATAGGGTTCTCTACTCTATCTAGGGCTATGTAGGGCTATATCCCTATCTGCCCACATGGGAAGGGTTATAGGGAGGATATATAGGGGATATATGATAGGGATTCTTGGGTTCTGTGGATGTTCAACTGTCGAAAGTATGATCTCTTTCTGAGTTCCTATTACCACACGGCCCGAATGTATAGGGTGCGGAAGGGAAGCAGGGACCATTATTTAGACGACGCCCCTTTTGCCTTGCCGAAAAAAGGGGTCTGCCCAAAGGTCAGCAACATACAGCATCCCTACAGCTGATACCAAAAATCCAGCATGACCCTGAGTACCTTACACCTCAGGAATTCTGGCTCTATAGCATCCGAAGGTCATGCAGGATTTCGAATATCAACAATAAATAGCAAAACCAACCCTAAACTCCAAACCCTATAGCCCTAAAGCCCTAAACTCCGGATCCTACTACTGTTGATGGAGGAAATCTTGCACCACCTTAAGTCCCTAACTAGGAATTACAGTAGTTTAGGGCCCCTAGGTGGTGCAAGATTTCATCCATCAACAGTATCACCAGCAAGATAGATGAGCCATTGTCTAAACTCCTAGTATCCCCCCTAGTAACCCCTATAGTAGTCCCCTATATAATCCCCTATAAGACCTCCCTTTAAGGAGTTTAGACAATAGCTCAGATAGCGTTGCCTTGAGTATCCATCGCCGCCACATGTTGCGAAAGCAGAAGAGCTCCTTTCGAGTCCCGAGCCTCAGCCACCCAAATAGGGTTTAGGGTTTAGGGGTCTAGTGGTTTAGGGTTTAGGGTTCAGGGTTTAAGGGTCTAGTGGTTTAGGGTTTAGGGTTTAAGTTTCAAGGTTAGAGTTTAGGGTCCAGGTCCTTATTACTGTCAGTACTACGGTGGATACTAAGAATCCTGCATGACCCTAAGTACCCTATACTTTGGGAATTCATGGTACTATAGTATACTCAGGTCATGCAGGATTTTGAGTATCAACAGTATTTCTACTTTTCTACTATGTTTATTACTATGATTACTAGTAACATTATTATGA